TTGGGGTCCTTAAATCTTGTCAGCCAGGATGCGACCCACATCAGTCGACTAACACAGTAGGTGTAAGGAAACACTCCCAATTTTTCACCCTTGCCGGGGATCGAACCACGAACACTCGGTGTGTGAAGCGAGTTAATGACCCAGGATAACTATAGTGTGGCTTATTTCTATTGAAGTCCTCTTAAGTCCTTCCTTAGGATGCGACCCACAAAAGTCCACCGACTCAGAAAATAAGAGGCAGCAGGTGTTAGGATGTCTGCCCATTTGTAACGTCCCTCTCAGGATTACACCCGAGTTCGTTGGGTATATATCGAAAATACCCCTACCAATTCCTCATTTAACCTCTTTCCACTTTCCTGTCACTCTCATACTTAAAAAGAGCAATGTTACTAGCCTCCACCACTCTCCTCTTGGTCCTGGTCTAACTGAAAGTGGTACACCGGCGCTGAGTAGGCTCGGGCTGAAACGACGCAGGGTGTTAAAATTTGGTGACTGGGGGACAAGGAAATATGATATGAGTTAGAATACTGTCAGAAAGTAGTCAGGCAGAGGAACGATTTATTATTATAATCATGGGGGAGTGCTAAACCCGTAGGATTATACAGCGCTTGTGGGGGGGATGGAAGGTATTCAGGCTCAATTCAGGGAACTGAAGCACAAATCCAATTCCCTAGATCAAGAGCCCTTCACCACCGTCAAGAAACCTCCCTTGAGGGGGCAGAGGAACGATTCGGATGAGGAAGTGGTCAGGGCAATAATATGTGACCATTCGTGAGTAGTCAATTGTGGGGGCAGGAGCCTAACCATATGGGTAGGCGAAAAATTTAATTTTATTAACCTCAGAATATTAACAACCCAAAAAAATCAGTGTGATTTATTTTAGATGGTGCCCTTATGTCCTTTCCTAGAATGTGATTCAACTGTTGACTAACTCTCCACGAGGTTATATGCTCCCTGTTCTAGTTATTATCTTTGGTAGTGAGCAGGCTACATGCAGCCTTGTAGCGCATTACTACTTTACATGAAAATAAATGCTGACGCCTAGGGGGTAAACAGTCTGTCTAGGGACATTTAAACTATTACCAATATAAACCGAATTAGGGCCAAGCTTGTTTCTTTAAAAAAAACATTATGTAACAGGAAGGACACAAAAACTTAACATATAAAAAAATATACATTATATTAATAGTAAGATAACATATACAACATACAACCTACCCACTACATACAAAAATCACCAAACACCAGTACACCTTTACCAAGTACTCACATTAGCTCACTAGCACACTGCTACTAGTGGTTAAAATATTTATGAGCAAGGAGTCTCCATGACCCCCATCCCTCCCTTTTGCTGGTCTCTTAGCCTGCAGGCAAAACACTACAAGAGTACTCTCCCAAAACTTAACAGGCCTCTCCTCATACTAGGGCCTTACAGATAAACATATGAGCACCAAAACCATTAAAATAACCTATGGCCTAAACTTCAAAATCACCATCCCTACTCACGCAAACACCAAACCGTGATGTCTTATGACATCTTGCTCCAGCCGCTGCGCTTCTCATACTCACTCAAAAACACCTCTCCTGCTCCTGTCCTGTCCTGGCTACTCTGCAGGACTAATACGCGTCCGGTTTCAGAACAAATCCCTTAAACTGACATTATATATGGAGCGTTTTTTATACACATTTTCTACAATACCCTGCGTAATAGCCTCGTGTAGTCGATAGGCTTTAAACCTTTTTAATTAACTAACTCCTTGGTATATATCTACTGTGAAGTGCAAAAAAAAGGCAGAAATTCAAGATTTGCTCTTATGCCCCTATCATGTGCTTTTAACATCCTATGGAGAGGAAGCAATGATGAGAAATTTCAATTACTCCGATATGGAAAACGTGAGGAGATTAAAACTATATCGGAGTATAAAACAAATTCCAACCATCCAATAGAACGGGAAACTAATGTAAAAGACCTGGGAGTGATAATGTCAGAGGATCTCACCGTCAAAGACCACAACTTTGTATCAATCGCATCTGCTAGAAAAATGACAGGATGGATAATGAGAACCTTCAAAACTAGGGATGCCAAGACCATGATGACACTCTTCAGGTCGTTTGTTCTATCTAGGCTGGAATATTGCTGCACGCTGACAGCACCTTTCAAGGCAGATGAAACTGCTGACCTAGAAAATGTACAGAGAACTTACACGGCACACGTAACTGCGATAAAACTCCTCAATTACTGGGAACGCGTGAAGTTCCTCAACCTGTACTCCCTAGAACACAGGCGGAAGAGATATATGATTATATACACTTGGAAAATCCTAGAGGGATTAGTACCAATCTTGCACACGAAAATCACTCCCTATGAAAGCAAAAGACTCGGCAAACGATGCAACATACCCCCAATGAAAAGCAGGGGCGCCACTAGCACGATAAAAGACAGCACAGTAAGTGTGAGGGACCTAAGACTGTTCAACTGCCTCTCAGCATACATAAGGGGGATTACCAATAGACCCCTGGCTGTCTTCAAGAAGGCGCTGGACAGGCACCTAAAGACAGCAGTTGACCAGCCGGGCTGTGGTTCGTACGTCGAGTTGCGTGCGGCCAGCAATAACAGCCTGGTTGAGCAGGCCCTGGTCCACCATGAAGCCTGGTCACAGACCAGGCCGCGGGGGCGTTGACCCCCGAAACCCTCTCCAGGTATACCCCAGGTATGTCTTGTTCCGCCTGGAATTGAACCCTAGTTCTTTCAGGTACGAGTCGAACGTACCCGGAGACCTAACAGGACCTAAAAATAATAGAGGATCAATCCAACAAACCAAAATAATAACCAACAATAAGTATCATCCCTCTGCACTACCGACGGGCGCCATTATATTGACTTGACACACCCAAGTGACCATCCGCCCCTTCAATTTAAGCCATCTGAAAACGATAATCACAAATAAATAAACGTTATTTCACTAAGGTGAGGTATGAAACGAGGATAAGCCTACAAAAACAAATATAGCTTATTTCTTTTTGGATCCTTCCCTAGGATGTGATCCACCACCCAAACCTATTTACTCATAGGTTAATAAAGGCATCAAATGTAAGGAGACATGTCCATAAGAACTCATAACATGTTTGCGAGTGCGAGATTTTTTACAGGCATCACTTTCATATTCAAACGACTTTACGAAGTACCTATCCGGATGTTACAATATGATCACAGAAAGTTGGCCACTTGGAAAAAGGTTGCCACAAATTTCCTCGAAGAATTGACTTCCCGACTCATCGAAACTGGTAGAATTGCCAAAGTGGTCTCCCAGAACTTCACTAGAGCCATCCCGAGGAGAATCGCTTGCCGTCTCATTGATTCTCGCTGGGCCTTAGAGGGCGGGGGCTTGATAATATCAACATTGTAATTTAAGTGTTCATACACTATAAATATGTGTGTTATGTAATCAAGAAAATTATAATTAAATAAATTATAGATGACCTCAGAGAACAACCTTAAATATACACAAATAACCCGCACATAGGAAAGAGAAACTTACGACAACGTTTCGGTCCTATTTGGACTATTTACAAAGTCATACTACCACAAGAGAGTGAGGGAGCCAGTATATATTATGTAACTGAATGCAGAAGGTCAGTTAGTATGTACAGTACAAAAGAAGAAATTCTCTACCATGCCAAGAACCATAATTATAGTAACTGGGAACCTGCTTCCATTACGTGTACGAGCATAAAATCCTCGAGACCTCTAGGGTTGAACAATTGACTCAATTTCACCATCTAACAAGGTCAATGGAAGATTGATGCAGTAACTAGGCTTCCTCTGAAGTTTTTTTTTTCATGCAACTAACGTGTTTCCTTTCAGTGACATTCTTCCTCCAACAGACAGCTCTTGGACCTTACATACTTCAAGTGACTTTGGTCAGGTAGCCTGTGTATATATTCTGCCTCCCGTGCTTGAAAAAAAAGTTCATTTGTATATAAAAACATGAAGTTCTTCTTTTACAGTTTGATTAATTTTCCCCTAGCCATTAACAGAAAAGTTATCAGGCACATGCTTAACTTGTTTGGCAAAACGAGATTTGGATCTAAATGGCTTGCTGCTGAATATTGGACTCTAAATAGCATATTTGCCGGATGAGAGAAGTCAAAAAGTCTGACTTTAAAAATACGACGTACATATACCTATACAAAAATTAAATAGTTAAAATGATTATGTATTCTCAACTTTTCTTCACCTGGATTCAATTGTCTTCCTTTCAACCATGTGAACTTACATCGTCTTCCTGTACCTTATACATCCCGTCTAAGGTTAGAGAAGGATAAATATAATTTTATTATGTGTTGTATAGACAACTGCCTTTAGTTTATTTAATAAGTAAAATATCACGAGAAGGCACTTGAGGAAGTTTATATAGCGAAGAATAAAGCTCACATTACTTGCATGAAACAATTCACAAGTAACCTCTATATCAGAGAGGAGACTTAGACGATGTTTCAGTCCATCCTGGACTTGATAATGGCTTAAGATGAACAGAAACATCGTCTGAAGTTTACCCTCGGTCTGTCAGTTATATCCGATAATTATTATATTCGAGAATATGCGCCAAATTCGCATGGGTCAAGAAATTATATACGTTACTGCATGAGAAGTTTTATTCGCATGCACGTCCACTCTGGATGCTGCAGAATACCTGAGTCAAGTAAACCAATCGCAAGAATTAAAATTGGTTCCTCAGGTTCTCTGATTTCTCTTGGGTCATGGTTTGGGCCTTTTCAGTATAATTGTACACCACGTAATCAGATGACCAACATTAAAGGTTTCAGTGACTCACACAGCGGATCGGTACTATCTTGGCACTCAACACAGGTGACTTCCAAAAACATACCAGGAACGAACGCTGATGAATATGAAGCAGATCCATCATCCAACACCTGTCTGTACAGGTGTTTTATGGGGGATCTACGTAGACTGTCGAACAGATATAATGCAGGTAAACCTGATGCAGAAGCCACCAGTTATCAGCCACTCTCCCCAGCCAGCAAGCGAACGGCAGGTGACGACCCAATCGAAGTCTGATACAAACGCTGAGTGTGAATACAAAGACTTAGCCGTAGCAGTATCCCGCAGCCTGGGACCAACAGAGATATATTGCCATCATGAAGTCTACCTACTTGCCGATGCTCCTTCTCTGCGTCTACTTGGTGAATGCAGAGAGTAACGAGGTCGACTCTAGGGAAGAAGTTGAAGAGACCATCGTAGAAGAGCCCGCAGGAACAGGTGAAGAGAGTGAAAACAGCACTGCTCTCGGTGAGGTATGTTTCAGAGCTTTCCTGACGGTGTCATGCTGTAAATTCGCCAATGTTCATCACCTGACCAACAGTAGCATGAGTTACAATGTAGGTAAAGCGCTATCAGATAAAATCCATTAAAAGACAACTCCTAAGCTGTATTTTCAGAAGTTTACAGACATCCTGATACAATAAATCCCGAATCGAAACATCCCTTCCCAATTTTTAAAGTGCAGGCACTAAATTTTACAGATCCAGAACATAAATCCAGCTAACCATTTAAATATTGTCATGTCCTTGCTCCACTAGCACGTAAAATCTCCAAAAACTACTTAAAACCACTCCAGTTTAACAAGATTACTCATGCCTGACCAAGTATCTGCCACTCTGAAACCCCTTACCCTCTCCTTTCATCCACCCCAGACTTATAAATCATCTTGATCAACCTCTCTTGATCCGTTCTGTGTAAATAATAGAACTATATCAACAATCTATCTTTCACTTTGAATTACAACCTTTATAGAACTACACCGTCTTCTAGTTTTTCTCCTTATTTTTGCTCCTTCACATCGCATATTGATCTAAAAAATATGTGCAACAGTTGGATATCTTTACTTCTGAAACGTTTGGCTTAGTCAGAAGACTTCAGTCTAATATGGAGGTGGATTCTGCTTTTGTTGTCTCAACTCTGTATTAGACTGCCGGTACTGTTTACCATTAATATAATGGTCTAAAACTTTACATCTTCACCCCCTCACTCCTTCCCCCATCACTGCAACATTCATGGATCAAACCTCGCACCCACACAATACCGTCAACACCACTATAGTACTTCGATACGTTCCCTTTGACAAGATATTTTCCACAGGCTCGTCAGTACTCATGTTTTTTTTCTTCTCTCCTATATACGAGCAATCTGTCGACATACACACTTCCAAATACCTAAACTGCATTCTCTTCCTACTTACACTTCCCTTCGAAACTGACCTCCAACGTTTTATATACAGGACTTCTACTTACTCGCATAGGCTTGCTGGCTCTTATAGTCTTCATTCTTTTACCCACCATCGCTAACTCATTCAACAACTGCAACCATTTCTGAATCTCCTAAAATCATCAGCAAAGAGTAAATGTGACAACTGCCATTTTATGTCAGATTTGTTATTATTTGGGAGCACAGCCCCTCAAGGAAGGTTCCTTGATGTTGGTGAGGGGCTCTTGATTTAGGGAATTGGATCTGTGCTCCAGTTCCCCGAATTAAGCCTGGATGCCTTCCACATCCCCCCCCCAGGCGCTGTATAATCCTCCGGGTTTAGCGCTTCCCCCTTGATTATAATAATAATTGGGAGCACAGCTCTACCTAACACTAACATTCAGTACAGGCAATTTGATGAACAAGACACTTGTGTAACACTTAGGTATCTTTATTATCCAAACGTTTCACCTGCATAACATATTTCTTTAGTTGAATACAAGCGATTACAATACTGGAGATTAGAAATTGAGATGTAATTTTGAAGTGATCAGTCCCTCAGTGTTATAATAGCTATATTCGTCTGAAAAAGCCTGCTGCGCAGGCGAAGCGTTTTCAAAACAACATATCCAAGTGTTTCACGCGTCTTACTAATGAGCTGTAACACTCGCTCTTCTACAACCCGATCTATAAGTGCATTAAACAATCACAAACACCAAACATCAGTGTCAAAATAGAACTTTTACTCTCTTTATAAAACCTATTTACAACTTTCAGCAGTTTACCATTTAAGCCATACCTTTGCAACTCAAGTCAAATCTCATTTCTGTTCATTGTGCCCTATCACGTGATTTTTTTTCAAATCCATAAATGCAGCAAACACTTTCTTTCCTTTATCAAAATACTACTCACATATAATCTTCAATGCTAGTATTAATACACAGATCTTATTCCTCTTCTAAATCAATATTTGTTCCTTTTTAATCATACTTTCTGTTTTTCTCTTCACTCCCTCGACTCCCACAGCTGATGAATCATTACAGGAATACTTGACGATACTCTCATTGTCCTTCTCAAGTCTCCCAGCTCCGGCTGACAGACTTCAACACATTGTTTGAGCCACATCCTGCGTGATGAAATATATTTTTGTTCCCACTGTTAACTACCATATAAAATAGGATAGCAATTGAATTTAATAAAAGAAAAATATTTTTGATAAGCACTAACACATATGATTCTCATTCTCTCCCTTTTGTTCCCTTTTCATACACTTCCTTCTTTCATTCATGAATATATTAAACTATGCACGAATTCCAAAACTGTATTCCTACCTACATTCAGCATCTTAGTTTTAATTTCATTTATCCCCACTCTAACACATTTAGCGCAATTGCTGCACAATCCATTTCTTCCATAATAAATGCGACTCTCTTCTCCTAAAAATTTCATGCTTCCCAGCCCAGTACATAAAAATTTCGCTTCCATGTCGTCTTCTATTTTCAGAAAACTTTTCAAAATATTCTCCCCATCTCTTTCCTACTTCCTTACCCGACATCTCACCACTTCCACTTGTAAATGACAAGTCCATTTATTCCTCGGGAGTTTTCTAATTTCTCAACATCTCATCAGGACTGTTTATCAGCCTCAGTAACTTATGCAGACAATGGCTGCCCCTGAATTATCTTTTACCGTTCTTTTGCACCCCTTCACCCCTCTTTGCAATCTCTTTTCCATATAATCCGCCTTCCATGTAATATTTTTGCATTTTTTGTAATATTTTTGCTATTTTTTCATCATCACCATTTTTCACATTCCAACAATCATTCCTCTTCCCTCCCGCAGCTTCTCTCCTGTAACCACAAACCTCTGCTATACACTCTAGCAACACACTCTTAAATTTAAACCATACCTCCCAACAGTTGTTCGTACCTCTTAATTCCTTTTACTTTTATTTTACTAACATACACCATTCGTCTTTTTCTTCCAGCTTCCTATAACTTTGTTTATTACTAAATAGTGATCAAGTATCAATAGCTCCTCTTGCAACATGGACATTACACACAAAAGCCTACCCATCATCCACTTTATATACGTAATAGTACATGTGCCAAGAGACTTCTCACATTGAGCACTGTCATACCTGGTTTACGTCTTTACAATTTTATTCTTGAAACATGTATAACCTAGTATTAATCATCCTCTACATAATTTTATAGGTCCTCCACCATCGCCTATATACGACTCTCCAAGTTTTTTTTAGTAAACGAAATACAAAGGCAAAAGGGACGCTATAAGTTGACTTAATCAAGTGTTCATTATGCTTTTGTATCTGTTTGTTAATTGTCAGTATCTTATACTTCCTACGCTCAGTAGTACTAGCAGTAATAGCAGTGGTATTAATAGTAGTACTAATTCAGTACTATTAGTATTCATAATGAAATTGAGCATATACAGTAGTGTTTTTTCTTTGCAGATTATGGAGCTGAAGAGGGAAAAAATAAAGAGAAGTGGACCACAAGAAGTAAAACAATAACATTACTGAGATGACAAATACAACACAAGACTCGGGGACTATGGCACTACTCCACAGTCAATACAACACAAGACTCGGGGACTATGGCACTACTCCACAGTCAATACAACACAAGACTCGGGGACTATGGCACTACTCCACAGTCAATACAACACAAGACTCGGGGACTATGGCACTACTCCACAGTCAATACAACACAAGACTCGGGGACTATGGCACTACTCCACAGTCAATACAACACAAGACTCGGGGACTATGGCACTACTCCACAGTCAATAACAACACAAGACTCGGGGACTATGGCACTACTCCACAGTCAATACAACACAAGACTCGGGGACTGTGGCACTACTCCACAGTCAATACAACACAAGACTCGGGGACTATGGCACTACTCCACAGTCAATACAACACAAGACTCTGTGACTATGGCACTACTCCACAGTCAATACAACACATGACTCGGGGACTATGGCACTATTCCACAGTCAATACAACACAAGACTCGGGGACTATGGCACTATTCCACAGTCAATACAACACAAGACTCGGGGACTATGGCACTATTCCACAGTCAATACAACACAAGACTCGGGGACTATGGCACTACTCCACAGCAATACAACACAAGACTCGGGGACTATGGCACTACTCCACAGTCAATACAACACAAGACTCGGGGACTATGGCACTACTCCACAGTCAATACAACACAAGACTCGGGGACTTCGGAACTGCTCCACAGTCAATACAACACACGACTCGGGGACTATGGCGTTACTCCACAATCAGCGCAACTTAAGACTCTGGACTGTGGCACCGTCCCATGGTCAACACAAGACTCTGGACTATGGCATTGTTCCAGAGTGAATGCAGCACAGGACTCGGGGACTGTCGCACTGTCCCACATTTAACATAAGACTTTGGATTGTGGCACTGTAACACAGTCAACACAACGTAACACTCTGGACTGTGGCAATGCCCCACAATCATTACAACACAGAACTCCGTAGACACTGTGAGACAGTGCCTACGGAGAAATGCTGTCTGCACTGCTTTTCCAGTCAAGGACTTGGGAGGGATTTTAAGATTCAATAGTCACACCGAATGATCTTCACTGAAGTTTGTTATAAAAGAAATTCTAAACATTTCATGTCTTTAACGTAGCTAAGGCTTGATCTGCAATAAAGATTTCTTACCAGAGTAAGGATTATAAACATGTATGTACGGAAGGTTTTGACACTTGAAATCTGTTTAGACCTTTAGACACGGGTTCTGACTGCAGTCCCAACAGAAAGTGTTGCCCGAAATACTCTGAATAACCATGGGCTTTCTATATAGTATATCATTAACGTCAGCTAGGTCTGTATAGGTCGCATCATGTACTTGTATAAATAAATATTATTATTATTATTAGTGGTAGGGGCTTGAGCATCCAGCAGGTTGGTGTCAAGTGGTTTCAGGGATATGACGAGCTGTTGAAGTGTCAACAACTTTATATATCATGTTTCCTTATTTCAGGGAATTGAACAAATTGAAACCCTACTTTATGAAGACTTTTCCTACTCGGTAAAAATCTGAAAATCATCTAAACTAGTGGGAACTGTCTGAAGAATACCAAGAACAAAACTTTAATACTTGGGGATGGGGAGTATTTGTCAGGTGAATTTAGAATCGAGATGTGATTGCAATGTGATTGATGTTAAAATCAGCATTAAGCTTTTTCAGCATTATCTTCATTAACAACAACAACAGCAACAACAATAATACTAATACTACTACTAATAATAATAATAATAATAATAATCCGGCAACTACCCTCAGATGAAAGGTGTAATTTTTTTAATGATTCGAAAGTATTGGTCATGGATTTGTTGTCCACGGAAGCTTTCATTTTGAATTCGTTAAATCTAATGTAAGAATTTTTCTAGAAGACTCCAATAAATTATTCTGCATTTATGATGTGAAAAGTAAACTTTCAATACCGTGGCTGGAATAATTCACAGTTATTCTACAAGTCGTTATTTGTGCTCCAGTTCCCCGAATTAAGCCTGAATGCCTTCCACATCCCCCCCCCCAGGCGCTGTATAATCCTCTGGGTTTAGCGCTTCCCCCTTGATTATAATAATAATCTACAAGTCGTTTGAACGTTTCGCTGCGTCCTAGGTCAGTATCTGTCCAGGACAGATCGAAACGTCGTCTAGTTTCCTCTCCTGATTATGAGTTAGCTGTGAATTATGCCTGTTTCTTTTTTTTTTTTTTTTTTTCCATTTTATTTTTTTGGGGGGTTTTCTCTCAGACGACGTTCCCGGGAAACTAAGAGAATCTGACGAGAACTACATCGTCTTCACTTCCCAGTGCACTCGACTGGCTGGTTGTGTTGCACAGAATGGAGCCTGCGTGGCTGCCTGCAACACTGCCACGCAATTCCAAGTTACTGGCGGCTGTAATGGAACGGGATGCTTGTGTTGCGCTCCAAAGGGTGAGTGTATTTCTCTCTCTATCTCTCTCTCTCTCTCTCTCTCTCTCTCTCTCTCTCTCTCTCTCTCTCTCTCTCTCTCTCTCAATATTACAGTACCACCCTCGAAAGGTCATCCATTCAGCTAAGAATTTCAGTATATATACAGTGAATAATATCAATTTTATGCCCACTAAATTACTGTAAGTTTACTGCAGTAAATTTATGTTCCTGTGTTTATAAAGATACATCCAAGAGATTAAAACTATGCAAAATTGTATGTTAAAAAAATATCTTATTGTAAATAAAGCTTTGTCTCACTTTTTAGAGAAAAGTTTTGCGGAATACTATATTGCACGGAATACTACGTTACATGGAGTACTATATTAAATGGAATATTATGCTGATATTTATCAACATATAAATTACTACCCCTCCAAACAGCGTGTAGCGCTAACGCCAACTGCACTAGCGCCAGTGGTGCTTGTCAAGCTACTGCTTGTAATACACTTCAGAAGACGATCGCAGGTGGATGTTTGGGCCAAAGTTGTTATTGCTGTGCTACCAGAGGTTGGTGCGACTTCCAGTTTTATTAATGCTGATTATAATGCTTGCGTTGGTGATAATGTTAATATGTACAAACACAAATTTACACACACACACACACACACACACACACACACACACACACACACACACACACACACACACACGCGCGCACATATACAACAGGCCTAGTGTCTAATCGACATGTGCCTAGGACAAAATGGTAACTAACACATACACATAGTGTCGACCCCTGTAACCACACACAAACGGTCTCATGTCTTTGTTACGTTACAGATTGTGAGCCAACAAATAAATGCAAGCGTGCTGGTGGTTTTTGTGCTTTCACGTGTACACATGGGATGGATGTGATCCCGAGCGGCTGTACTGGCACAGCATGCCTGTGCTGTGCAAAACGTAAGTTATCTCTTCATTCGACATGGCGCAAACGAACACACACACACGGAGGGGAAGAAGTAATAGATAAGAACAGTGCTCGGTATCTCTATCAGGCATTGATGATCTTTTCATCAGACTGATCAGGCCAGCAACCAGGAAGGCTGGTCCGGTACCAGACCCTGCGGCAGTTACCCCTGTAAACTTCAGCAGGAAGATAACAGATGGTGTGAGGAAGAGATACACAGTGCTCTTCATGCATTATATGTTTTCCTCGTGTGTGATCTCTTGTTCCATGTAGATAAATGGCTCAGAGAACAGACAAGTTGATAGATTAGACACATGTGCAACACTTGGGTCTGTATTGTGGAAACGTTTCGCCACACAGTGGCTTCATCAGTCCGATACAAAGAAGAATGGTGAAGATTTGAGACACTTATGCAACACATGGGAATCTTTATTGAAGAAACGTTTCGCCACACAGTGGCTTCATCAGTCCAGTACAAAGTAGAAGTGGGTAAGGAGAGTAGAAGTTTGAGGTAATCAGTCCCTCAACCTGGATTCGATGTGTTCAGTCCATCACTCTTGTAGGAAGTGCAGCATAGGGCCAGAGAGGTGGCTTATATACTGCGGTGAGATGAGTTGAAGCAGGAGGAGGCGGGATCACAGTGGGACCTGCCACTAGTGTAAGAAGGTCGTCGTCCAAAGGTTGGGCAAGCGTTGAAGTCTTTGTACCAAGATTCCATGATGTTGCACTAGTGGCAGGTCCCACTGTGATCCCGCCTCCTCCTGCTTCAACTCATCTCACCGCAGTATATAAGCCACCTCTCTGGCCCTATGCTGCACTTCCTACAAGAGTGATGGACTGAACACATCGAATCCAGGTTGAGGGACTGATTACCTCAAACTTCTACTCTCCTTACCCACTTCTACTTTGTACTGGACTGATGAAGCCACTGTGTGGCGAAACGTTTCTTCAATAAAGATTCCCATGTGTTGCATAAGTGTCTCAATTCTTCAACTTGTCGGTTTTCAAAACCATTCATCACATGGTGAAGATCAGGAGTCTGATGTAATATCTCCATCAATCTTGAGAGACGGACTGATTATATCAACTCCAGGCTGGGGGACTGAATTTTTCAAGCTCATTCTGATCTTCCACGTTCTTCTTTGTATTGAGTTGATAAAACCACTGTGATCATCATCCACCGCGACCTGGTCCCAGACCATGTTTCTCTGTTGATAGCCCGATCAGTCAGGCTGTTGGTGCTATACAACATTAATATATAACTTGGTTTCACTCTGCTAAAAGAGTAATTCCATGACCCTCATCATATAAAAATTAATTATTATTTTCATTCCTGTCTAACACCATTAAAACTTACCACTTTAGCTGTCACTACATATCAACCAACGAAATATACTGAAAAGAGTCATTACAATTTGGTACACGCTACCGACAAAACGAGAATTTAGACATGCAACACCTGGGTACCTTTGAGAACGTTTCGCCAGTTAAGTAGTTTCATAAACTCCATACGGAGAAATTTTGAAGGTGTTGAAAGAAGAGATAGTGGAGGATGAGATAATCAGTCTCTCAGCGTTTCAGAACTATATACAGAAGAGAGTGGAAGATGAGGTGATCAGTCTGAGGGACTGATTACCTCATCCCCTACTGTCTTCAGTTTCAACACTTCCAAATTCCTCTGCACTAGATTGACAAAGCCATTTGCTGGCGAAAATTCTTCGAATAAAGATGCTGCATACATCTCTAATTTCTCCATTTTCATATTATTTTCATGTTTTTTAATAATTTTCTAGCTTTTTCAAGATATAATTTTATTGAAAAAAAAATGGAAATAACATTTTTACTAAAATCTGTTAATTTAAAGTACAAGGTGTGTATGTCAGTTTTGTTTTTACTGAAAGTTTACTTAATTATTATTGTGGACATTTAAGCAATGTTTATATTAATGTACATGTGCTAAATGTTGTCTTAATGATCAACATGTAGTCGATAGACTTTAAGCCTTACAAAGTAAACTAATAATGGGTATATACACCTAGAGTTGTACTCACCTAATTGTGGGTGCAGGAGTCGATTCATAGCTCCTGGCCCCGACTCTTCACTGGTATCTCTCAGTGTATATACACACTGACAGTTTATTTTAATCCCTATTTTTGGAAATAAAGTATCTTTGGCTTATGATAGTACAGGTGATATATAGTCTTACTAACTTACGCGTAGTCGACAGGCTTCAAACTTAACAAAATAAACTACCACATTAAGCATGGATACCCCAAAAAGCACTATAATAATGTACACAATATAATAATATATATACATGTATTACAGAATGTGGTACGAACTACGAATGTAGAGAACATTACGGATCCTGCGTGCGCAGGAGGTGTAGATCATTTGAGAAAGAAATAAGGTCTGGCTGCTCTGGACAGGGATGCCGCTGCTGCGCAATGATGAGTGAGTACATCGTTAGAAATGCACGTAAAGGATGGTAATAATAATGATTTTAAATATATATATATTGTCTTTTTTGCTTCATTGGTGCCCCGTATTCTAGTTAACAACATTCACTGTAAATTTATGAAGCATTGAGGCGTTCATACGTCTTATTGGCCAAATACATGCTTAATATAAATCGTATTTATATATATATATATATATATATATATATATATATATATATATTATATATATATATATATATAATTTCCTTGCATTAATCAAATTATAATTCTTAATTCAGCTTCATAAAAGGTTTGATATACATATATGGAATTATTTTATATCTTGACCCAGATCGTGACTCAGGAAACGGGACAGACAGCGAAATAAACGGAAACGTAATTAACGAAGAACAGCAAAATGATGAAGAAAATGAGGAGTGGGAGAAGGACAATGATCTTATTGAAAACGATGAAGCAGCAGAAGACGAACAAAAGGAAGAAGCAGTAGTAACAGAGGTTGAAGAGATACAAGAGGAGACAACAGTAGAGCAGAGGAAGATTTAGAAAGCCAGCTAGAGCAGCTGCTGCAGCTTCTTACACACACACACACACACATATATACGCGGGGCCAGGAGCTTGGACTCGACCCCTGCAACCTCAACTAGGTGAGTACATACACATACACACACATATATACACACACACACACACACAGGAGCTCGGACTCGACCCCCGCAACCTCAACTAGGTGAGTACACACACACCACACACACACACACACACACACACACACACACACACACACACACACCACACACACACATACACACATACACACAGCTCAATTCTAAACAAATGAAAAGAGAGAGTCAATTAATATTTTGTTATGAAGCACTTCATAGAGTTTATATATCAGTACCTGATGGTCAAGCCTCGACCCGCCGTCAGCGAGGCCGAGCTTATCCATGACTGACCAACCTCAAGCCAAGGCTGCACCAACCTCAAGCCAAGGCTGCACCAACCTCAAGCCAAGGCTGCACCAACCTCAAGCCAAGGCTGCACCAACCTCAAGCCAAGGATGCACCAACCTCAAGCCAAGGCTGCACCAACCTCAAGCCAAGGCTGCACCAACCTCAAGCCAAGGATGCACCAACCTCAAGCCAAGGATGCACCAACCTCAAGCCAAGGTGCACCAACCTCAAGCAAGGATGCACCAACCTCAAGCCAAGGATGCACCAACCTCAAGCCAAGGATGCACCAACCTCAAGCCAAGGATGCACCAACCTCAAGCCAAGGCTGCACCAACCTCAAGCCAAGGCTGCACCAACCTCAAGCCAAGGCTGCACCAACCTCAAGCCAAGGCTGCACCAACCTCAAGCCAAGGATGCACCAACCCAAGCCAAGGCTGCACCAACCTCAAGCCAAGCTGCACCAACCTCAAGCCAAGGCTGCACCAACCTCAAGCCAAGGCTGCACCAATCTAAGCCAAGGCTGCACCAACCTCAAGCCAAGGCTGCACCAACCTCAAGCCAAGGCGCACCACCTCAAGCCAAGGCTGCACCAACCTCAAGCCAGGCTGCACCAACCTCAAGCCAAGGCTGCACCAACCTCAAGCCAAGGCTGCACCAAACCTCAAGCCAAGGCTGCACCAACCTCAAGCCAAGGCTGCACCAACCTCAAGCCAAGGCTGCACCAACCTCAAGCCAAGGCTGCACCAACCTCAAGCCAAGGCTGCACCAACCTCAAGCCAAGGCTGCACCAACCTCAAGCCAAGGCTGCACCAATCTGAAGCCAAGGCTGCACCAACCTCAAGCCAAGGCTGCACCAACCTCAAGCCAAGGCTGCACCAACCTCAAGCCAAGGCTGCACCAACCTCAAGCCAAGGCTGCACCAACCTCAAGCCAAGGCTGCACCAACCTCAAGCCAAGCTGCACCAACCTCAAGCCAAGGCTGCACCAACCTCAAGCCAGGCTGCACCAACCTAAGCCAAGGCTGCACCAACCTCAAGCCAAGGCTGCACCAACCTCAAGCCAAGGCTGCACCAACCTCAAGCCAAGGCTGCACCAATCTGAAGCCAAGGCTGCATCAACTTTAATCAAAGGCTGCACCAACCTTAAACAGCCAAATCATGTCAGTCTGTAAAAAAAATTAAATTGTTCCTGAGGAATGCCCAACGAAATACTTGGCAGGCGGTGCAAAATACCACCAGTGAAAAGTAGGGGCACCATTGGTACACTAAGAGAAAACACCATAAGTGCCCGGGGCCCAAGACTGTTCAACAACCTCCCACCATGCATAAAGGGAATTACCAATAGTCCACTAGCTGTCTTCAAGATTCTCCAGGAATATGGACCACTACGTTCAAATTACTTCTTCCTCCTTCCCCCCTTTGCCCCTTCCTTCCCCTCCCGTTCTCGTTCCCCCTCTCCCCTCCCTCTTTTTTATTCCCCTCCTTCCTCGTGGACGTTCAGATCTATCCCTCCACATCTCCTTTCCTCAACGTTTTGAAAGTGAAATGTCCTCTTTCTTCCCTTCACCATCCATTCATCCTGACCTACAAAGTTCCCAGTATTACAGGTTGTTATATACTGTTATTTTTAGCTTCAGGCCTGGCATTTTTTGTGACTTTAGGCATTGTTTTGATATTTTCATTTATTTCATGCAAATAAAAAATAATACTAAAGGTGTTTAGTTATTTTTATAAGTAATTATGACACTAAGACCTCATAAAATGTAAACACAAAATTTATTATACGAATTGCAGGGGCTGTAATAAACATGGAGTGTTAGAGATGACATGAGCTTAAAGGTAGTTATTTTCACGAGAAAATTAGAGAGAGTTCCAAACGTTGTGTCGGTGAGAAACAATTAATGCTGTATATTAGAGGACATGTCATGCTGTATATGAGGACATGTAACACTATGTATTAGAGGACACATAACGTTATATATTAGCTGACACATAACGTTATGTATTAGATGACACAACGTTATGTATTAGATGACACATAACGTTATGTATTAGATGACACATAACGTTATGTATTAGATGACACATAACGTTATGTATTAGAGCACACTAATTTGTATCAATGGTTTAGAAAGCCGACAAGTTGATAACCGAGACACTTGGGCAACATTAGGGAATGTTTATCCCTGAAACGTTTCGCCAGCCAGTAGCTACTTCAGCCACTTCCGTAGCTGGCAAAAATAACAAGGGAATATATTCTTGCCAAAGTTATGAATGGCAGGAGGCCAGGGCGGGAGGTGCCAGTGTGAGCGAGTTGTCGCCCTAAAATATATGGATCAGTTACAGTCACAGATACGCTGGCAGCTTGTAACAAGGATACAGTTACGGTGAGCCAGATAACAATCAAAGCTCTGATCATTCACACTTGACAGCCATGTTTATAGACAACATACTTCTCAACTTATATGGAAGCCGCAAATAAGATGATTTAATCCAAATCAAAGGCTCGGAAACAGGACACGGATACAGACGAAGTTACTAGTGCTCTAGTATCATACATTACCACGGATGTGTTGTTGTGCCGAGGAGAGTGTCACTGTAGTGCCAGGGACATTTTATTTTAATATATTTCAGTCATTTTAGGATTCTTCTATGCTCTGTGTGTGCCAACATTTTCCTATTATCTGAATTATTTTAGATAATATACATGCCAAGAATACAAGGTTGTAGCTGATTACATCCTGTGTGTCTCGGTGCTAAAAAGACTAGGAATGAAAGGGCACAATACCGTGACTGAAACAATGCACAAATAACCCGCACATAGGAGAATGAAACTTATGAAGTTTCTGTCGGACCGAAACGTCGTCACAAGTTTCATTCATCTATGTGCAGGTTATTTGTGTAGTGTAGAATATTAGAACTACGTTCAATATTTTCCATCGTTTAGGCAGTTGTCTCTTTTCCAATGATTTGCTGGAGATTTTTTTTTCTAGGTTCCCACAATATTTCTACATTTTGTTTATAGAATTTACTGTGAAACATTGCCAGATATCATTACATTTTGAATATCCAATTTTCTAAATATATAATTTTTCATTTCTTCCCAAGCTGTGCAGATGTTATTCAATCTCCTTCAATAGCCTCTACTTCCTCGTCTTTCCAACGTTATCTCTGATTCCACAAAGATCAACTTGAACCATTTGTTCAGTTCCCCCACAGATCTCATTCCAAGATCTCCCACCTTTCTTCTTTGGTCTTTCTACCTCATCCGTTAAGATTATCTTCGTTAGGTAAGACACATATGCAACAGTTAGGTATCTTTATTTTGAAACGTTTCGCCTACACAGTAGGCTTCTTCAGTCGAGTACAGAAAAGTTGATAGAAGCAGAAGATACTTGAAGACGATGTAATCAGTCCATCACCCTTAAAGTTTTGAGGTGGTCAGTCCCTCAGTCTGTACTCGACTGAAGAAGCCTACTGTGTAGGCGAAACGTTTCAAAATAAAGATACCTAACTGTTGCATATGTGTCTTACCTAACAATCTGTCGGTATTTTATACCATTTTAATGTTCAAGATTATCTTCCTTCCAGTGTTGCCATGAAGCAGTCTCAAATCAAGTTTAGTCTTTCACACTACGTCAAAAAAGATGGTTGTAATAGTAACCATCACTTTTAAAATGGGTGGACGGGTAAGCCAGGGAAAGGCCTCGGTCAGATGACCAAAACTCCAACGGAAGGTCATCATCTGCCTAAGACCCGCGACCTGTTTCCTGACGAACCTTATCTTACCTACCTACACTACGTCATTTTCATTCATTTCTGCGTTTCTTTTCACACTTCCTGCATATTCGTTTCCAAAAATTATTTTTCTCTTTGTGTCTTTTTCGCTTTCTATCGTTATTCCACGTCCTGGTGCTTTTTCGACTCTGCTGTCCTGCATCTTTAAGTAAACCATTGGCTCTCTGAGCTTCCCCTTCTCAATTTCTTTTTAGAATTTCTTCTCTCCGTACCTCCCACTTACGTACTCCATTTCACTATATTTCCTTCCATTTCTTTTTAACACTGCACCGCTCTCCCCATTCCTTACACTCCTTGTTCCTTTTCATTAGACATTCACATCAAAGTTGTTTGGTCACTGTCACTAAGAGGCTTTACAAGGCTGTTTCCTCTATGTCTCATACAGATCCAATTTTGCTGGATCGTCTCCCTTTCTCTCCCTCTTATGACATCCTGGGAAAATAACTTCTCTGTACGACCTCCTTCAACTTAGTGTCAGGTCCTGAGTGTTGCCCGTAGTTCTTCCTGATTAATTTCTTGCGGCTAAAGTCTCACATGATAATTAGTTTTGTATTAGTTTTCTACTCCCCGAGTTACACTCTGGTTGTTGATGAGTAACACAGGTGCATCACTAGGAATCTTGAGGAATGAGGCATTTGTGCAACATTTGGAAATCTTTGAGGAAACGACTCCATGCTAAGGGACTGATTACCTCAAACTTCTACTCACCTTCCACTTTTCTTCTCTGTATTAGACTGACAAGGCCATTAGCTGGCGAAACATTTCCTCAATAAAGATTCCCAAATGTTGCACAACTTGTCAGTTTTCTAAATCATTTATATACACTAGGAATCTTCATTGACGAAACACTTTGCTGCGGTATAAGTTTCATCAGTGTAATACTGAGATGTATCATACTACTACAGACATCAGTGCTGGTCGAAGAGGAAGTAGAGAGGTAGTCTGATGTAATCACCCTAGGTGCAAGATGATCAGTCTCTTAGCCTAATGCTAAGTTGTGTTTGCATGGGTCGAATCTCTGTTTGTTACCTCGTCTATTAATCACTCGCAGTTATTGCTTCCTGGCATTCTGGGCAATATTTTCAAACTGCATGGAAAATGCCTCCTCCTGTGCGTTTGTGTGTGTGTGTGTGTGTGTGTGTGTGTGTGTGTGTGTGTGTGTGTGTGTGTGTGTGTGTGTGTGTGTGTGTGTGTGTGTGTGTGTTTATATGGTTAACTGAATCTATATTCCATCTACTTATAAATGCATCAATGCTAAACGCAGAAACAAGCTAAGGTATGTACAGAGAAAGAATGCGGTCTGTAGGACTCAAACCCACGTTTGGAAGGTGGCATAGTTTATTACGTGACACCTTAGATAATGGGTGGGTCTGAATCCTGCTGACGGTGATCTTAATCTGTGTATAAATGCATGTTATGTATATATGCTTGTGAATGACTCACTGGGCCTGGCGAGGCAGTCTTCCAAGGAGCTGCAAGTCTCCCTCACAACGACAATCAGATCCTGTGTAAAGTTACCTGCCCTCACCCAGTCAGACCTGTCCTGGTTCCCACACCACCTGATAAATCAACCCACTTGGATCACCAGTGGTTAGTTTCTCTCACTCGCCCTTCCTTTCCCCTTCCCCCCTCCGTTCCTTTCTCCCTTCCTCCCTTAGTAAGTTCCTTCCTTTAGTATTTTCCTTCCTCCCTCTATGTTTCTTTTATATCCAACCAGCAGCGACTAACCTGCTGTGTTGCATTAATACATTCAGGGAATCAACGCCTCCCACCTCACCTGTTCAGCCTCTCACCTCACCTGTCCAGCATCTCACCTCACCTGTCCAGCCTCCCATCTCACCTGTACCACATCCCACCTCACCTGTCAAGCCTCTCACCTCACCTGCTCAGCGTCCCACCTCACCTGTCCAGCCTCCCACCTAACCTGTTCAGCCTCTCACCTCACCTGTCCAGCCTCCCACCTCACCTGTACCACATCCAACCTCACCTGCTCAGCCTCCCACTTCACCTGTCCAGCTTCCCACCTCACCTGTACCACATCCCACCTCACCTGTACCACATCCCACCTCACCTGTACCACATCCCTCCTCACCTGTCCAGCCTCCCACCTCACCTGTACCACATCCCACCCAACCTGTCCAGCCTCCCACCTCACCTGTATCACATCCCACCTCACTTGTATCTCATCCCACCTCACCTGTACCACATCCCACCTAACCTGTACCACATCCCACCTCACCTGTACCACATCCCACCTCACCTGTACCACATCCCACCTAACCTGTACCACATCCCACCTCACCTGTCCCACATCCCCCTAACCTGCCACTCCCCCTTCCCCTGTCCACACCCCCCTCACCTGTACCACATCCCACCAAAACCGACCACACCCCCCTAACCTTACACACCCCCACCTCCCTGTACCACACCCACCAACCTTACCACTTCCCCACCTCCCTGACCCCACCCCACCTCCCCTTCCCACACCCCCCCTTCCCTTACCATTTCCCCACCTCACCTGTACCCTTCCCACCTCCCTGACCACATCCCACCTCACCTGTCCCATTCCCACCCCCGTATCAATCCCACCAACCCTGTACCACTCCCCCTCACCTGTCCCCACATCCCCCCTCACCTTACACATCCCCTCTAACCTGTACCACTTCCCCCCTCCCCTGTACATTTCCCACCTCCCCTGTACCACTTCCCACCAACCTTACCAATCCCACCCACCTTTACCACTTCCCCCCAAAACCTGTACCACATCCCACCTCACCTGTACCACCCCCCACCTCACCTGTACCCATCCCACCTCACCGTACCACCCCCAACTCACCTGTCCCACACCACCTCACCTGTCCACATCCCCCCTCACCTGTACCACTTCCCACCTACCTGTACCACTTCCCCTAACCGTACCACTTTCCCACCTCCCCTGTACCACACCCCCCCCCCTGTCCCATTTTCCCACCTCACCTGTCCACATCCCCCCCATTTGTAAAAACCAACCTCCCCTTCCAACCCACCTCACCTGTCCACATCCCCCCTCAACCTGTACCACATCCTCCTCCCCTGTACCATTTCCCACCTAAACCTGTATCAATGATTACTAAAAAAAACAATAAGGTGACTTTTCTTTCCATTTGAAATTGACGTTTTAAGGAAAAAAACCCCCACTTGCGAAAAAATCCTGTATACAATTTACTGGAAAATCATTATGTCCCCAAACGCTGTGGCCTTAAAAAATTTGCAAAGGCGAAAACAAGTATTCTTTATATGTGAAAAAATATGTATTTGGATTAGGCTAAATTAAATTGCGCTTGTTATAATGGGGTTAGATAAGTTTTCTAAGGTTCTTCTGGTACAAAGTTATTATTTTTAGGGTAAAAAAATAAAAAAAGTATTTTTTAAAAACGTATAGGAGAAAATTTTAAAAAGGGAAATTAATTTTAAATGAGATTTTGCTAATTCCCAAATTTTTAAACTATTGGGCACAACAATATAATATTGCACACACACACCCCACACACTTTTAATATAATATTTTTATATTAATATATATATATATATTATATTATATATTATATATATTATAATGCATAAGAAAATTAAACGGGTGATTTCAGAATAGAAAAACCCCCCCTGTAAAAGAATAAGAAATTCAAGCGTTTTTTCGTGACTACTCACTTTATCAAGGAATATAAAAGTAAAACATCCAAGGAAGGTATATAAGGGGCTGGCAACACCTCACTATCAGATCCACAACGGTTAAAACCTGACCCCCCGGGCCCCGACTGGACAGGTCCTTCGCACAACCACCAACAAATATTCTACCCAAAAAAATTTTTTAAAAATTATTATTTGTCCAGGTATTAAAAAATTCTTCCCAAATTCTATTATTAAAAGGACAATTTTATATAAAACCAAAGGAAATATTCATATTATTGTAAAAATCCTTTTTATGAAACAAGATTCAATAATTTTCTGCCGACCAGGACTTGCTTGATACACTTTCTCAATTTTTTTAAAAATCATTGGAGGGTTTAAAAATTTTTACATGAATAATAAGCTTTGGATTTGTCCGTTCTAAGCTTATTTATGTTGTTTTAATCAATAATAAGAATTTTCCCTTTGGGGTTTATAAAATTAGATCCATTTTTAATTAATGTTTTTTTGGGGAAAAGAATTTTAAATAATACATGGACAAAAATTTTTTTTTAAAAATTTTTTTTTTGGGAAAATAGTTTTTTGGGGGGTTGTGCGAGGACCTGCCCCATTGGGCCGGCGCGCGTCGGGTTTTTTAAAAACGTTGTGGGATTGTAGTGGGTGTTGGGCCCGAACCCCTTATTACCTTCCTTAGATGTTTACTTTCTAGTTCCTTGAAATGTGGGAGTCACGACAGCGCTTGGAATTTCTTATTCTTTCACCGTGGTTTTTTTGCATATATAAAAAAAATATATAAATATATATATATATTATATAATATTAAATATATAATATATATATATATATAAAGCAAGGAATTGCAAGAGCAGGCGAAAAAAAACACAACAAAGTCTCTGGCGGGGAAAGGGGCTCGAACCCACGAACCTTTGGAACAAGGTACGCGTGCTATACCAAAAAATCATCACCCCTGGACCAAAACCTTGGAGCCAGCTTTCGCTAGACTTTGATCCTTTTTCCTGGTCAAAATCAGGCAAGCTGGCTCCCGGTATTGGTAGTGTGGTGAGGTTTTTATAGCACTGCTACCTTGTTCCAAAGGTTCGTAGGTTCGGTCTCCTTCAGAGAGCAGGTTTAATTATTTTATATTATTTATTAAAAATTAATAAAATATAATTATTTATTATAAGAAAAACTATTCATTCCCTCCCGTTTGGATCCGTTTCCCTTT